TGCCGCAGCCCCTGCCCCGCCTCACCCGCTCCCTCCTTCCTCCTCCAACCAGGCCGGGCACCGTCGCCCTCCGTGAGATCCGTCGTTACCAGAAGTCCACGGAGCTGCTGATCCGCAAGCTGCCCTTCCAGCGGCTGGTCAGGGAAATCGCCCAAGACTTCAAAACAGACTTGAGGTTCCAGAGTGCGGCCATCGGCGCGCTGCAGGTATTGCTAGCGGCTTGCTGGGCCTCAGCGCTCACGGTGCTTCGTATGCTTTGCTGAGGGTTTCTAACAACATTTCTCCTTGTGCTCTTGAAACAGGAGGCCAGCGAAGCATATCTGGTGGGTCTGTTTGAAGATACAAACCTGTGCGCCATCCATGCCAAGAGAGTCACCATCATGCCCAAAGACATCCAGTTGGCTCGCAGGATACGGGGAGAGAGGGCTTAAGTGAAGGCTGTTTTTATGGTGTTTTGTAGTAAATTCTGTAAAATACTTTGGTTTTAATTTGTGACTTTTTTGTAAGAAATTGTTTATAATATGTTGCATTTGTACTTAAGTCATTCCATCTTTCACTCAGGATGAATGCTAAAAGTGACTGTTCACATAAACCTCAGTGATGTGAGCCTTGTTGCTCAGGAGTGACAAGTTGCTAATATGCAGAAGGGATGGGTGATCTTTCTTGCTTCTCATGCATGTTTCTGTATGTTAATGACTTGTTGGGTAGCTAAACTTGTAAGGTACTAGAATTGATATAAATGTGTACAGGGTCCTTTTGCAATAAAACTGGTTATGACTTGATCCAAGTGTTTAACAATTGGGGCTGTTAGTCTGACCATACATCACTGTGATCAAATGTGGACTTTTTCAGAGGGTGAAATTACAAGTCTTAACCACAGTGTAACTTACAGTTTCCTAAAAACGTAAACCTGGCAGCTATAGAATACACTATGTGCATTTATAATAGCTATTTTATATATTGTAGTGTCAACATTTTTAAATTAAATGTTTTACATTCACATGTGAGGAGTCTTTGTCATTTGGTTTATATGGGCTTGAAGCTGCCTCCTCCTGGCTCCAGTAGGCTACCAGTAGCTGCTGCTGTGGCAACTTGATTTATTTTTTCTGTCAACAGAATGGAGAATGCGCCCTGGCCACCCTTGGATTTTTTATTTTTTTTTGGAGGCTTTTTGTAGCTTGTGTCATGGCTCTTGGCCAGTGAGCAGATCTGAGCCCTGCAGCTGTGGGGCAGAGGAGGAACAGCCTCTGAGGGCTTCTGGGTTTGGCTTTTTTTTTTTTTTAATAAAGCTTAACTGCTGATCAGTGGCAGCTGTTCAGGAGGTACTAAGGTTTTTTTGGTTTTTTCTCTTCCTTTTCCAGTAGATGCAGGGGAAGCTTATTTTGGTGGTGTGACTGGTCTGCCTGAAGCAGAACCACCAGCTTGTTCCCTGAGCAGTGTCTCGGTGTGGGGTGTGTGGGGCCCACCCGTTTCTGTGGGATCTGGCTGCATGACTAAGCCCTAGTTAATAACAGCAGCCAGTGCAGGATGGCATGCAAGTGGAAAAGCTAATTATACAACCTGGGAGCATATGGGCTGCTAAGCAAACTGGAATGGGCGCTCAATAAGATTCTCATTTCCCATCTAAGCTTTTTTGATGAAACAGGATTATGCTCAAACCTTTGCTTCAGAACAGCTCTTCAAGCTCTCTGCTGAGACCGGTCTGGCTTTCTCAGCAGTGCCTCTGGGAGCAGCCCTACCTTGTTAGGTTGTGGTAGAGGAAAGCTGCTCAGACTACATGTGAAACACAGGTAATTAACATTTAGATTGAATTGTGAGGCCAGCTCTCAGCTCCTAAAGAACAAGCTGCACTAGTAAGGCTAAAGTTGGGACAGCAAAGTCACACAGGGAAGTTGTTCAGCTAGTCCATCTTGATTTTTTATTTCAATGGAATTAAAGAGTGCCGTGGCAGCGGTGGCACTCCAGGAGGAAGAACAGCAATGGTTCACGCCGGAGAGCAGGCGGTAAGTCAGCACTGGTCCTCTGCGCCTGTGTTTCCAGCACCTCCTTCCACAGCGATGGCCTGAGAGCGGTTTGAAAACCATCCTGCCTCGTGCTGCTCCGGGAGTCGGGGTGCTGCATCCCTCGGGGTGCTGCGGTGGCACTCGCCAAGTCTGGGCCAGCGGGCTCGGGGCTGGAGCTGGGGCTCTCCCTTATCAGACAAACCACTCCGTGTGCTTAAATCCTGCAGCTGGAGGAACAGGCGCTCCTTACCCTGCGCTCTTACACAACTTCCTCACCGCCCTTTCCTACGCCGCTCCAAGCGCGCTTGGAACAAACACAGCCCCCGGTTAATACCATTATCATATCTGCTACAGAGCTGCTAAAAACGCATTCTAAAATCATCCAGGATTAGGGTTTAAACCAGTATTTTCCTCACTGCTAAACCTGTAGGGGGGGAAAAAAAAAAAAGATTTCCCTGTGCCTAAATTGTATACTTAATTGCTTTAAAGTTAAGCGCTGTCTCAGTGACTTTAGGTGACGCTCAGTGCTCTCAGCCCACCCGGGCAGGTCTGTCCTGGGGGGGTACAGCCTGCCCAGGGGACATCGGGCAGGGATGTCCCCACACGAAACCTGAGGGTCCTCGGTGGCCCAGGAGCCATGTAATTTGGGGAGCACCACACAGCTCACGTTTAGGCATGTTAAAATTTAAAAAAAAAAAAATAAAATAAAAAAATTCCAAGTGCTGGGATTTCTGAACGCTTGGTGCGGTGCTGAACTGCAGTAGCAGGCTGGGCTCCTGCAGGAAAAGTATGTTTTAAAATAACATCCCTCGAAAACAATGTTTCCTCCAAGACCTTAGTGGAAACAATGAACCATCTGGGAATGCCTAGAAGCTGTTTCTTAAAATAAAATCATTGTCTAGCAGTTCTTAAAAAAAAAAAAAAAACCCAAACAAAAACACCGAAACCAACCAACACACAACACACAAACCAAACCCACCAGAAAACCGTATGGAAGTATCTATTCATCTCAGTAACCTTAACAAAAGGAAATTAAGTTGGATCTTGCACGGGGTGGACCAGAACAGCAATTCTTGGTACTCCACGAGCTCACTGTGATGATATCTGAAGACGTAAACCGTTCCCTTACCAATTCTTTTGATGATTTCTT